GATACAGCTGGCCAGGCTGCTGAATTTTCTAATAAAGCCTAACAGAGCCGCGGGGGAAAATAAGCTGCCCTCAGAAGCCAAGCCAGTCTGTGGCATCTCAGGACAAAGAAATAAAATAAATGTGCTTTTCCATGAGTGACCTAGACCAGGGGCCAGAAAACCGGTTTTATAAACAGAGTATTTTTACTAGGACGCAGCCATGCTCGTTCAGTTATATGTATTGTCTGTGGCTGCTTTTCCTCTAAAATGGCAGAGCAGGATAGTTGTGACAGAGATGGCATGTCCCGCAAAACCTAAAATAGTGACTATCTGGCCCTTTACAGGGAAACTTTGCCGATCCCTGACCTAAACTATTAGAACGCCACTTCGGCTTCCAGGTATACAATTACAGGTGCGCTTACACGTTTATTTCCGGCCTCAAGCACAGTCCATTCTCCCCATGCTCACTGCTAATTGCTAGCTTTCTGGGGTGCATTCGTTTCCCAAAGGCGCAGTCGGCTGTCAGTCTGGCTACCTTTGCCAGTCAAACAGAAGCAGGATCCTGCAGACGAGGCCAGCAGAGCTCCCTCCTAGACCAAGACAGCCTGTCTGTAAAACGAACAAGAACTTGAAGATTCCTTCTTACCCTTGCGGGCGGTCCCTTTTATTTCGAGTCGCGTCTTAGCTTCAGCTTATTTCCAACTCAGCTATCCTTGGCTCTGAAAAGCTGTCATCACTGGCATCACTGTATCTATCACTAGATCAAAAAAGGAACTAATTTAACAAGGTGTTAAGAAAAAAACCCAGACAATTATCCTATTTACAATCCTAAACACTTCCCATAATGAACTCCCACTCAGAGACAATAAACGCTAAAGGATGTTCTATTGTCACTTTCTACTCACCACGGGAAGATGTCAGCCCGACCACGCGCAACACTCTCCTCCTTTAGTCAGAGGAACTGATCAGTTGCTTTCATCTTAAATTGGAAGTAATTTATTCAAAAAATTCATAAAACATTTCCATTTAGATTACGTCTGTAATCTTCTGAAGACCACTAATCATTTCTAAACTTCGGCAAAAGCCTTGAAAGCAGATCGCTCCTGACCCTCTTACCTATTGTCTCCTCTCTACTAGAGGTATTGTTAACAAATTAAGTTGAAAAGGAAAACCTGGGCTAATGGACCCATTCATTTTCTGCGCATCTACTCTTGTCATACTAAATCGCAGTCCACCCCGAGGTAAAGCATCACTCCGTCCTATTCCTGTGCTGATCTCAATTTGTTCTCCAGAGCAATAACATAGCATAAAATAATACCTGGACACTCAGAGTTTTCCCATTTCTCACCATCCTGACAACAACTGCTTCTTTTATCAACACGAAAGGACCAGAGAACAGCAAGACTAGCTGCACCTCGCTTGATTTGCGTCAGTCAAATGCTTTCCTTTTTGTTCAGCGGTAGGTTGGGTTTTGCCTCTGCATTAGAGGACCATGGCAGCTCCCTAGATAACTCCACCGTGGAGGAGCTGGTCGTCCATAGTCAGCAAACTCCACAGGGGCAGTGAACTTGCAGGTCATTCGAATTAAGACATGCATGCTGGCTCAAGACCCAGGAAACAGCCAGTAGTGCACATAAAAAATATTAATACATGCTGTAAACGTCCCTTGGAATACTATCCACTTCAGTTCCTATTTTCACTATGATTTATGGATCAGCGGCATGAGTTTCTTGATCTAACAAACATTCTCGTAGGTCCAAGGATTTGAGAGGTAATTTTACCACGATGCTATTTTCAAATTAGAAACTTTACGGGATACTCCAACTACCTTGAGTCGCAAAACATGATCGATTATTGACATAGATGTCGCCATGTTGGGGTCCCTAAGAAACGCACCTTCTCCATGAGATAGCCCTGCTATTGTACATTTGCTCTAAGCTGTGTGCTCAGTTTGGGGTTCCTCCTGCTCGATTCCACATAAGTCAGCAGGTTAATCAATTCCACAAGAGTTCTACTGACCTATGGAGATGACATTGCCAGGAATTACGCTTCATGCTTGACCCATCCCTACCGATGGCCAAGTTTTTGCTGACTTGTAGCAACAGAAGTCTGAATTCTATAACAGATGAAAATCTACCTTTTTTTTCTTTTCTTTTTTAAGGGAGGAGAGGGAAAAATTGGAGAAACCCTATGCTGACAGGTTAGAAAACATTTACTCTAAACATATTGAACACATATCAATAAACACATAAACAGAATAATAAAAGACAACTTCACTCTCCTCTCTGACTTTTGGACAAAATACTGGAAAGGACAGGGGTGGGGGGTGGCTTAGAGTGTAGAGAGGAGATAGAAGAAGATTGAGAATTGGCAGAAAAGACAAGATACGTTAGATAAACATATCAATCGACATATCCTTAAAAGCAATCAAGTAGAAGATACCTCCCAGTTAGATTTTAGTTCAGGAAAATCTCTTCTACTGTTACAAAAGAGTTCCCAATAAAGAAAATACGGGAATAACTGAAGAATGTTTTTTGAAAACTGGCCCCCAGAGTGGATGTGTCCTTATCTACGCACCTCCCACTACTACACAAATGCAGAATCCTCCCTGGTTCTATAAAACATTTCCTGTTACAGAACTAGCAAAGGGGACTTGGAAATTGCATTGCACTCCCTATCTGAGAAAAAAATGAAGTTCAAGGGTGTTTGAGTGATTCACTGGGCACACAGCTCATTCGAGGTATGGCCAGAATCCCCATCGTGCTAATTAATCAAGGCCACAGGCGGGAGTCTAAGCTTCACTGTAATGGGCTAGCGTTGCCTCTTGGGGCATATCCCCTGACACCACAAGCGGGAAGGCCCAAATGGCGGAGGGAACTCCATTTCTTCAGCCTTCATATTGTATACCTGCTTCCTTCTCCACCTCTGAGCCTCGGGAAGAGCAGAGTGGGTCGATGGCTTCCCCCTCACACTCCTGGTTGTACTATTTATTGGCCATGTACCTATATACTGGTCATTTGACTCCTGAAAGTCTAGAAATAGTAGCATTAATACCTACAACCTCACAAAATGTTATGAGGGCCAAAAGAGACTGTATAAAGATGCTCTTGGAAATTATATAAAAATATAAGCTGTTGCTATTAATGGTGGTTACATATTCATAATATGGTATCTCTCGAAAAGTCATGGAAATATAAAGATGTCATGAAAACTGCCAAGTGCATGATTTTCAGACTTGTTTCCTGTACCAAGAGTAAATCCCTACCCACATTAGCAAGGGGACCTGGGTGGGTCTGCTTTTAACCTAATGGCTCTCATTTCCTGTCTGATGGGCTGTCTGCCCCAAATTCTGCCAACACATCAAAATGGCGCAGGCTGAGTCTAACAAAGTGAGGCTTGGCTTGGGTTAACTCATCTCCAAGGCAAATGACTGGGTTCACTAATTTTCTTTTCTATGTGTAGGAGGTCGGGGGCGAGGCAATTAAATAAACCATGACACTCAAAAACAGAATTATCAAAAGAGGCACTGCTGCTAAAGTTGCTGATTTTATGGCATTCATATGCCGACAAAAAACAACTGTTAGAAGATGTGGATCGTCATCCACACACGGAACAGCAGTGGTTCCTGCACATTCAATAAAATGTGGGTACCATTCCGTGATACGTGCGACTTAAGGTTCATTTTTCTTTCTCACACAATGTAAAGAAGTCTTAAGATATACTTATCTGAGTATATTGTCACTTCGTTTAAGAACTCTCAGCTCTATCTTAAGACTAACCTGTCTTCAAACAGTCTTCTATACACACACACACACACACACACACACACACACACACACACACTCACTCACTCACTTCTTAGTAGGGAGAGTTATTAGATATTTGGGTCTTTCATGTTAAATTTTACGAAATGCCAAAGAATACAGACCCAGTCACATGTGTCTTGTTATATTTGAGAAGGGGGAAGTTTTAAATCTGTACTGTCCAGCATGGTAGCCACATGCCGCAGTAGCTATCTATATTTAAATGAATTAAAATCAAAATTTAAAATTCCATTTCTCACTCAAATACATTGAGCCATACTTCAAGTGCTCAAAAGCCACATGTGACTGGTGACTGTCATATTGGATGACGCAGCTTATAAAATATTTCTATCATTGTAGAAAGTTCTGTTGGATAGTGCTGATTTTAAAACAAATTGATAACGATTTTTAAAAACAAACCATAATCACCATGCAATGGTCCTCTTCGTCACTCGCTAAAAAAGGGGTTTTTTTTAAAGGTGTGGTTATCTTCAGTTAAGTAAGATCATGGCAAATCTCTCTCATGCATGCATGTGCCCCTCCCCCCTCAGATAATGGAAGTATTCTTTTAAAAAAAGTTTTTCACTGTACTATTTCTTACAAGACAAAATCAAAATCACCAGCAGCAAGGCATGGGAATCACTATCCTTACAACCCTGGCTTGACTTACAAGACTGGACAGCAATAGTCTCTGCATGGTTCTTTGACAAACAAAGGCTTGTCACAGTCAAGTTTGTTTGGCAAAGACTCCTGGTCCCTAATTTCCAATACAAGAAAACCTATATTCCAAGGCGCCAGGGCAAGGATATAGTAATGCCTCATATATCCTACCTTTTATGCTACCCTGGGGGCAGCCATTAAACCATTTCTTCTCCATTGACAGGAAGAGGTGGTTGGAATTTAAAAAGTTTTTAATGGCATACTTCGGATTCCCAGCATGCATGAGTTCCTACAATGCTCTACATCAACATCCATTTCATGTGGAAAAAGCATATTTTAAAACAGGTTGCCATGCACACAGTTTTCCCCAAAGCACTGTTACTACTGTACTTACTTCCTTCTCAAAGAGCCCCTGGAAGCCATAAAATATAAGAGCAATGGAATAAAAACTTAGTACGCTTTGAATGAGTTTTGCATTGAATAGCAAACGGCAGAATACAAGCCCAGCAGGGCATAAAGAACACAGTAGTCTATATCACTATTAACTCTGTTCCCGGCTGCCACTGCATCATCAGCACTGAAATGACCCATAATCAATAAAGAGGACCTTTTAACCAATACTTAATCCCCGAAGGAAGGTGTACTCAAATGTGGTTTGTTAGCGGTACTTTACCAGACAAAGTCTCAAGGTATGGAGTTGGAGTCAAACAATCGGGAATGGGGGTGGAGGGTGGGGAACTGTTTTAAAAGATGTTTAAAAGGACTATTTTAAAAGAAAGCAAAAAAGAATCATTGTTTTCCAGTTCACTTTTGCTTAAAATGTAACCAAGGGAGAAAAGTAGAATTTCCATATCACTTTCAGCTTTACAAAGCGCCATCCCAACTGTTCTTCACAGCAACCCTAAAGGATGAAGATCCCGAGGTTTAGGAGGGGACATGGCAAAAATTACTCAGGAAGTGGCAAACTCAGAAACCAAATCCATAGCGTCCGCTCCACTTTTCCATAGTGTCCCCATAGAAATAAAATATTTGCACCATATATTGCAAGAATGGCCCTTGGCAACATCAACCATGCAGCCCGATGACACAAATGAATGAATGAATGAATGAACGAACAAGGCAATCTGATTCCAAGTCTATAGTGCTGGAAAATGCACAGCAGATTCATGCAGGGGGAGAAGAGTGTCTTAGTCTCCTAGTCAAAGGCAAAGTGCCACTCGAGGGGGAATGAGTATGGCTTAGAGGGAGAAATACCACTCTATAATCAATGGAGGGGCCATTTCCTCCTCCCAGG